ATTATTTAAATTTTAATTTTTATTTAATTTTATCCTTAAAAAAGTAAGTTTTACTTAATTTTTTATTAAAAAAATTTAATATTAAAAAAATCTAATTATATTAAGAATTTTAATAAAAAAAGAAATATAAAATAATGGGTATTGCTAAATATCACCAGTGGTGATCGTCACCACACCACTTAATTCTGGCCGAAAATTATAATTTTGGCCAGAGTTAAAAAAACACATCGTAAATTTTTTTTCAAAAATTTCAATTTAAATAATAAATGTGTAAAACAAACCTGAGTAGATACTAATCACACTAAAATTTTGAAAATTTGACTAAAAAAAATCTTTTTTAAAACAAAAAATTGTATTTTGCTTATAAAATCAAACTTTCCTATTTTTCTCAAAAACTATCTAAACAACAGCCTTTATAATCTAAGGCAAACTTGTTCTATCCATAAATTTACATATAGTAGTGATATTTATATTATAATTAGAATAATATCTCAGTCAAAAATTTTTGAAAATTCAAAAAATATTTTACATGTGGTGACGATCACCACTGGTGATATTTAGCAATACCCTAAAATAATAAGTTATTTAAATGATTTGAATTTGAATTTGATTTGATTTAATTTAATTTGAAATTTGATTTAAAATTTAATTTGGATTTGAAATTTAATTTAGATTTAAAATTTGAATTGGATTTGAGATTTGATTCAAGTTTAAACTTTAATTTAATAAATTAATAAATTTAATTTGAATTTGAAATTTAATTATTGAATTAAATTAAATCAAATTCATATTGATTTGATTTAACTTAATTATTTACAGAATACTAAATATATTGCAAATGCAATAAAAAATAAAATTCTTTATTTGATTTAAATTTAATTTAAATTAAATCTTTAAATAATTTGATTCAAATTTAAATTTAAAAATTTATAGTTTTGATTCAATTGAATCAAATTCAAATTTAAATAAATTTGATTTGATTTAATTTGATTTGTGCAGAATTAAAAATGTTAGCCATAATTCAAAAAAATGCCATAACATATAAAAATCTTATAATCATAATTCAAAATTTTTTAAAAATAATTAATAAAGCTAACATTTTTAATATGATTAATGATTTGATGATCATAAGAAAAGATATTAGCAAAACTCATCATAGAAGAGATAATATATGTAAGTTTTATCATATTCATCATTCATTTTGATACCTGTTATTAGTACATTATCATTTATTTGGATTAAGTGAACCAATTGTGAATGCTGAAAACAATCTATTTTTTTAATCAAAGAATAATTTGGATAAAGATATTCTAGGAGTTAAAATACTAACAAATAATTTAGTACAATTTTTTTTTTTAGGTCAAGTTTAAATTACAATTCATCTCTTCACCTGAAAATGAAAATACTTCTCTGATTTATAATAACATTGAAGATGAATCATAACAATGTAATGATAATGAATCATATGGTAAAATATCTCTTAAATTCATATAATGATGAAAACTATTATTTACTGAGGTAATTTAATCTTTATTTTTTTGCATATAAAATATATTCCAATTACTTTTCCATCTTTCAGAAAGTGAAGCATTTGGATACGAATGATTTATTAATTCAGAATATCTTTCTTAAAGTTTTACATCAATTTCGATTTAAAAATCTTAAATCAGGCAAAATGATAATAGATTTGATTTTTTTAAACAAAATAATTAATACAACAGATTTCAGGGTGAAGAAAAGTGTACGATCAAAACTAAATGAAAAACAGAAATCATGATTTAACCAGATGCTAGAAAAAGAACTTGGGATCTGACTCCTAAATTTAAAGATTACTGTAATCAATTTACAGAAAATAGGTGCAATCGTGTCCATATTTCTATTCTTGTACAAAATCTTTTGTTGCAAAATACTTTGATCCCTTTCTTTATAAAAAATATGACATTGCATAACAGTTAATGACACATTTGTTTGTATTTACTTGACTTTTAAACTTACAACTATTTATGAAAACCAACACTAATAATAATATATACGAATCAGTCTACAATAAACTGAATCAAAAATTGAAAATTTGGCTGATTAAAATATGAAAATGGAAAAGAGAATAAATGAAAAAATTAAAGATGTGATTAACTCAAATTGGAATGAATTAGAATTGAAAATGGAAAAGAGATGAAATGTTTTAAAATTAAAAGTAGATAAGATGAGAAATGAAGTAAATAATATGAAGAAAGAAATAAAAATATTATTATTCTAAACAATGGGGATAATGTTTACAAGTCTAATTGCATTGTTTGATGTGTTTAGCTGGAATGTGCATCTTATTTTAAATCCAAGTGAGCAAATAAAGATTTCTTAACCAGTATCTGTAGCACCTATTTCTAAACCTTCTAAACTATTTTTAGCATTTCCTTCTAAACCTTCTGAACTGTTTCCAGCATTTATTTCTTCTCAAAAGAAAAAACAATCAATTAGTATCATTTAAAAACCTTCATATTAACACAAATTACAGATATTCAAATTGCATTAATATCTTTTATGAATAGACTTGTCAAACAACAAATATTTTTTATATAAAATTTTAATCATGTACAAATTCAATGTAAAACTTTAGTAATAAATAAAGCTAATTTGCCAATTATTTATATTTACTATTATCTTTGTTTAAGATATATTGTTCAAGAGACAAAATTAAGTTTTTGAAGCCAGGCCATAAGTCTACATATGGGTAAGTTTGATTCATCTGCAATATCATGTGTTATTACTAAACTACCTTAATTAAAAATCATTTAAAATAATCCTTCATTATGACAGAATAAAGATAAAAAGTATTGAAAAAGCAAATTTTAGCTTTTTTCAATATATATCTCTAAAAATATTTTTATAAATAGAAAACTACAAAAGAAAAAAAAGAAATTAAAACAAAATTTTTTTTAAGAAAAAATGCCAGAAAAGAAAAAAATAGAAACAGAAAAAACAGCTAAAAAATAAAAAAAAATTACTTACTATAACTATTCATACAACTTAAAAAATGACCTACTATAAGTTAGATGGATTAATAATTATGTTAGATAGGTTAAATCAGGGTTTATACTAAGTTTTTTTTTGTTTTAACGTGAAGTAAAATCAAAAAAATTTTCAATTGATCTGCAAATTCACCTGACATTTAATCCCGTATATACTGATTGATTTGATATTATACAAAAAATATTTTATTAAGTAAAATCATCTATAATTATTATACATGCCACCCAAATTATTTTGGACTGCCATAATTATAAGTAAAATCCCAAATTCAATTATAGCATCCCAAATTATTTTGGCACTTTACATAGTAAATTATATATAAACTGAATGAATTACGACATCCCAAATTATAATTATGGCATCCCAAAATAATTTGAGTAGCATGTATAATAATTATGATGAACTAAACCAACCAATATAAAATATATCAAAGTCAGTCAAAATTTGATTCTTTTTTATTAATATATGCAAGGAATAAATACAAAACTTATGATGTATGATGAAGTTACTGCATTATTATGTTATTATGTTATAGTATACAAAAGTAAAAAGTTATAGGTATATTAGTATTTTAGACATATAGAAGAGTTCATAATTAAATTTAGGAGAGAATCCTTAAATCACATGATAATAATGATGTAATAATTTAGAAAGATAGGGGAAGTTCCTTAAAATTCCTATAAAAGGAAGATTCAGAACTTTATTTTCAGTAGTTAACAGAAAGGTCAATAGAGGAGTTAATAGAGGAATTAATATAGTCAGTAGTTATTGAACTCATAATTATTTGATCCCAAGATTATTGAAGTTTATTTTTATGAATAAAAACATGAATTAATTACAAACAAAAATTATCAAATTTATTTTTAACGTATTTCTTTATTTCTTTATTTCCAGAAATATTTCCATAAAATGATTAAAAGGTGAGTGAATAATATTTTATTTTAATATGACGGTTGGGATAAAAATATGGAAATAAGTATACCTTTTGGATGTAGTTAGGATGAAGATAATGGAAAAAGAATAAGTTTAATGAAAAAAGGAAAAGAAATATGGAAAAGGAAATAGAAAAATGGAAAAGGAATTTTATATTTTATATTTGTTTTAAACCCTTTATATACTAAACCAAGCAAGAAAATGAAGAAGTTTACACTCAACTATACCCTTGAGAAGGTAGTTGTTATGTAATGAGGTGATACTTGTGGCAAGAATATCCTTCAACGTTTTTATCTATTAACCTAACTATTTCTTGTCAGATTGATCAATGATTTATGCTTTTTTATTACCTCATTTATATCAAGAAATGAATTTAGCTTTTGCACCTTATCTAGTAATCAAACAATATGACTGAAAACCTTTTCTACTTTAATTCGCATATTCTCATTATTGTACTCACTATATATGGTGTTACAAACTGTTACATATATGCTATGTATGGTAATGATTTCATATATGTATATTTATTTCGAACCAGAAAATAAAGTATAATTGTATGATTGTATAAATAACATTTTTTTCACATGATTGTGACTTGGCTCTTTTTTTTCTTATTTATTTTTTTATTTTTTTAACAGATTTCTGGTAAGTGGTGAGAGTTTTATTTAAATTTACTTTTAAAAATGATATTAACCCGTTTTTTTTTATTTCTTTTTACTTTTAAACTTGAAAGGAAGTTTTTTTAATAAATATGTAGTTGTAATGATGTGATGTTAATAACATTTTAAAAAGACTAGCATCTTATTTTTTTAGGGTTTAGAGTTCTTTTGGAATGAACCTATTAATAAGGTAAGCATCTTTGAATTGGTATAAAGTGGTTAACGGCATTATGAAAAAATATTAATGCCTTTTTTCCTGTTTTTCCGATTTTAAGTCATTTCTTGGAGAATTTTTTATTTAACTATAATTAGTTTTTTTTATATTAAACGATTAATAAAACTAATTTTTATTTCTTTTTTATCTTTTTAAACCATGATTTAGCTTTTTAAGTTAAATTCATAGAACTAGTACATATAACACATAACATTTATTTTTTAAAAAAATTTTGTAACACGTTTTTTTCAGAATACACTTTTTAAAATATAATCAATTTTCAATTAATTGCAAGCTTTATAATGTCTTCAATTATTGAACTTTCAGATATAGATGATTATAATGAGAAAAACTTAATTAAAATGTTAAGTAAATGTTATTCAAATTATATTATTTTATTAAAGAGAAAATTATTAATTGCCGATCCGCATGTGATCGATAGAATTTATATAATAAAATGTGGCGCAACATTTATATATAAGCCATGTTGATCATATTTTTATATCAAATAAAATGCAACCATATTGTTATACAATTACGTAATTTAACACCTGCAATATACGTTTAAGATCTTAGAAAAAAAAAAATTTTTTATAAAAAGTTTTTTTTCTTTGCAGTTTATAAAGTTTTATATGTGGGAAACGGAGATTTCATAGTATTTACTACTATTTTACTTCTATGGTATAAATGATTTCTAGCTCTTTAACTTTTCTTTGACGCTTATTATAAAACTTTTTTTGATTATTATTTCTGTCAACTATTACATTTTTAATAACACTATGCACTTTTATATCTCTTTTTCTTTCACAAATATGTCCAGTTTGTAAAAAATATGAATATAATGAAATATATGAATAATAAAAGGACTTTTATTAAGTTTTAGCGTAATCTCAAAATAGGAATAGTTATCTTGAATTTTTTTTTAAAAAATAATAAACAAGTCATATAAATATGGACATAATAATAAAGTTCTGATATAATAGCGCCAGTTGCAACAAGTTTTTTAGGAGTTATGTATGTATTTGACGTTGTTGTTTCTTGGGGAAACAGAGATTTCAAACGGCATTTTTTTTATTAATTAACATAACGCCGCATTTTACTATGTAAATTCTATCGATCACATGCGGATCGGCAATTAAAAGCTAATAAACAAAAATAGAGAGAGAATAATAGTGATAGCAAAAATGAATTAAAAAGTGAAGAAACATTAGCTTTCTTTACTTTTTAACTGCGAGTTCCCAAAATTATATACAACTGTTCCTATAGAATATCCAGATACATTTTCAGAAGAAGTTGCAACCGTTTACAATATAACTAGATAGAAAAATCATACAGACACGTTTTTAGATGTAAGTATATATTATTTACCTTTAATTTAACAACAAGCTATAGAACTTTAACTATAAATACTTTTTATTACAATGAAGATTCAATATTCAACAAATGGTTCAGGCGGTACCATAAATATTCAAGAATGTCCTTTTTTTGAAAGAATATCCATTAAAAAAAATCAAAGAAAATGCCAAGGAATAAAGTTTTATCAGTTTACTGACCCTGAATTTATTAATCAAGAACACTGTAATGTTGATTTTGATTCTGAAATTTTTTAATATTATACACAACAAAATAATAATAATACTAAAGAAGTTAAAATATATATGTAAATTTATTAATTATTGTTAATTTTAAATGTATAAAACTTATTTTAATTACTGATTCAAATTTTTACTAGTTTATTTTTGGCAGCAAAAAATACTCCTTGTAATTTCAAAAAAAACAATATCCTATGCAATGGAAGACCTCATATTGGAAGAATAACTAATTATCAAACAAATACAGTCGACTCTGGTTATAACGAACCTGTTTGTACCGAAACCTCGTTATACCGAATTATAATTTCCAGAACTGATTTTTTATAAATAATTTCACTGGATATAACGAACTTTTATAATAAAACACTATATAACGCATCTGAACTAAACTTAACCAGCCCTATATATCAGCTATATAATAACTTTATACTTTCTATAACGAACGGTCATGTGACTATATAGTAGTCCAGGCCAATTTTATAGTGCTGGCCAGAATTACTAGTAATTTTTTCAAAAATTTATGTTAAAAGAAATTATAATTTTGGCCAGCATTACAAATTTGGCCTAAATTGCCTATAAAGAAAACTAGTTCAGTATATTATATAACGAATTCACTATATACCGAACTAAACCTCCTGGAACGGAGGGTTCGTTATATTCAGAGTTGACTGTATTATATCATATTTTATCAGTTACAACAAATACAAATAAGGTGATAAGTGGCATTGATATATCAAAATAAAACAAAATGAAGTTGATATTTCATTACTTCAAAGTCTATTCACAGGTTTTGCATCTGTAAGTATTATTTATTTCTCATTATTATTTTTTTTGTCAAATTGGAAATTGCGAATAGCTATTTATTTTATATGATCTTTCTATTTTTAAAATTATTCAATTATTCAATTATTTAGATACAAGATATAGTAAAGTGTAGTATGATACTTTCTAAAAGTTGTAAACATAAAAAATGTGATAATTATTTAAATTTAATTATACTATTAAATTTATTTTAAATCATAACTAAATCTCTTTTATTTTAAGATATGCCACATATATATAATGGAAGTATGGAACTATTGTCTGTGGAGAAATAATTGACAAACCTTGTCAAGTGTGCTTTATCAAATTTATTTCTTATAAGTTATGATATTGTCAAATGTCCTTTTGTAGCACTTGTATGTATAGGAACACATAATCATTCACCCTCAGTACGGTAAAGGATTTCTTCTGGAATTAAGAATAACTTAGAATCTTTAATTAACCAAGATATTCAACAAGATGATAATGTTACTTCAAGATCAATATTGTCAGGTATAAAATATTAATAAGATTATTATTTATCATAATCAATTAATAATTAATTTAGTTTTGATATATTAAACTAATAGGAAATCTACTCAGTGCTTATTTTAATAAAGAAACATTGGCAGAAGTTCATGTTTCTCTCAATAATATAGACAAGTTACGATACTTAGTAGGAAAAGCATACAAGACCTTGCATCATTTTGGACAAGGAGTTATAGGAATTTATCATGATATATTAAATCCCAAATCAGATTTAATAAATTATGTTCGCAAAATTGGTAAATTTTTTAAAATTTTATTATGCATTTTATTTAAATTACTCATTAATAATAACTATTATTTTTAGATCTTTATTCAAATAATGGCCAAGTAATTATTACTTGTATGCTTGATAATCAAGCTAAAAAATTAATTACACTTGATTATTTTCAAATTGATGTCAGCTTTAAACGAGTAAAAGGAGAGATAAATGAATTTGAAATTAACAAGTATGATTCCAAACATCACCTGAGTAAGTGAAATTTTTATTTAAATTAATCCCATCATGTATTATAAATGATATACATTAATGATGTTACTAACCATAGTTTTTTTTTTTAAGTATTGTCATTTTGTCGTATATTTACTAATGTTTTTACTGCTGAAGGGTATCATAGGTTATTCTCATCTTTATTCCAAATAATTCGTGAAGTAAGTGGTCAATCTATTCAATTTCGACATATTCATGGAAGTGGTATTGGATGTATTCTGGCTGATCTGGACGCTGCACAGGCTAAGGGGTTAGGATTAGCATTACATGATTTGGATCACGAAAAAAGTTGGGAAACACACTTGACATTTATTTTGAAAACATGCCTTGTACACTTTGAAAGGTATTTATAAATTTATTGAATAGTTATCTCTTTTACTTTTAATTTAATTAATTTATTTTTTTTTTTAGAAATTTATTTCATAAAACATTTACTATAAGCACGAAAAATTTAATACGACAAATTCCTAATGCAACTAGTAAAGAACAAGTTCATGATCTTCTGCAACAAATAGAAGATACAAATGATGAAGGAATAAAAGGTATATTATTTATTTATTTTAGAAGTTTAAAAGAATTAATATAAATTTTTAAAAATGTTTTTTCTTATAGAATGGTTGAATTATTATCAACAATCATATGTTTTATCTTCCTTAAATAAATACGTTTCAAATGTTGATCATGAGATTTGGAATAAAAGTGGATCAGATACTAATAATGCTGAAGCGGCCCATTCCATGGCTAACAGAGAAGGAAAGCAATTGAAGTTATTATCAGCCATTTTAAAGTTAGTTTAAGTTTTTTTAATTACCAAATTACATTTAATATTATGAATATTATGTATTAATTATAAATAATTTAAAGAGGAAAAAGGTACGATGCAAGGTGTTATATAACGATTGAAGTTCATAACAAAAATGGAGTACCTTACACTCATAGAGACAAAAGTGATGTTAAGAGATTACAAAATTCAATTGTACGCAAAAGTAAGTAAAAACATTATTTATCAATTAATTTATTTATTTATAAAAATTTTTAAAATTTTTTTATAATATATAGCATCTCGTATTCAAAAGAATAAAGTATCTCTTAATGATAAATTACCCAAGTCATCAAAAAAAAAAAGAAAATTATCACCTTCTAATAGTAGAACACCTATTAGATCAAAGGAAAATCATGAAAGAGCTGAAAATATTTTATCAGACAATGAAGAAGAAACATTTTCTAAAGAGATTCATAAAAAAAATCTCGAGTTAGAACTTAAAGAGAAGGAAATTATATTGAAATTAAAACACGAGTAGCTGAGGCTGAAGCACGAATGATGGAAGCTAAAGCTGAAGCATTAGAAATAGAAAATCAACAAAAACGTTAAAAAAAATATATTTAGTTTTTTTTGTTAAACTTATAATAATACGTTTATAAATCATAATAAAGAAAATATAAATTGCGTTTACAGTTCTAATACATGAAAAAAATTTTTTTTTAAAAAAAAAATCAAAAACGTGAAGTAGGGATTTTTTTTATAAAAATTTCCGAATTCAATGTATAGTCACGTGAAATTTTATTTTCATAGTCACACCCGGGTGTGATACTGGGAAGATGATTTCTGGTACACTTATCACACTTTTTTGTCTTGTCCGAGAAAGCAAAGCTCCTTTCAAAGTTGCTCTTGGAAGGAATAATGATGTTTCCGATTTCAAGGTTTATCAAGAACGAGAAACCGAATGACTTTGCAAAAATCGATATTGATAAATAATATCAAACTATGGAAGCTTAACCTGTTCTCAGCAAAAACATTGAGGGGCTCCGAGGAATTACACTTCAAGATAACGAGAATGTAACTTTACTGGATGGAACAAATGATATCGTAGACTACTGGGCTGAAGAACAAATACCGTTCAAAAAATGTATTCATGTTATTGTAGAATTGCTCGGTAAGTGAGTTATAAAATTTCAACGTGATATGGTTTCTTGTTATATTCGCCAATAATACCGAATACTTACTTGTTCTTGTGCTTTTCTTTCCTGCTTCTTATCATCAAACCCACATTCGCGTTATCGTAGAACAACCCGTTGTTGGTAAGTGTGTCGTAATAATTTTGTCAGCGCAGTGTGAACGCGACGCGTCTTTGCCTGAACTTATACTGAACTTATACTGCTATTCTGTCTTTAACATTGCTAGCTTCTGCATGGTCTTCTTCTGTGCTAACTTACGAGCAACCTGTTACTGGTAAGTGTGTCGTAATAAATTGGTCAACGCGAGTAAACGCGTGATGTCTTGATTTTTCTTCTGCAATAACATCGAATACTAAACCTATACTGATTTTTTCGCTTTCATATTATTTTTTCGTTATATTAGGAATAAAATTTTGACATCTGGTATAGCAGAACTCCAACTCCAAGGTAATTGATTGTTTTGAACATACACGAGTTTTATTACTAAATGCCTGAGTACTTTTACTCACATTCCATCTAACTACAAAAAAAGATAAGAAATTATGGGTCCGTTATAATGATGAACGCGTCTTTTTACCAGAAAATATCTTGGGGTTATTGAGGGTATTTAATGTGGGTGACCTTGTTCCAATAATAAAGTCGCAGTTGAAAATAAAAGGAGATATTGCCATTCGCAATGGGAACGATATCTTGGAAGTCGGTAAACCTGTCATTGAATTATAGATAATGCATATGAGATTATAGTCGAAGAAAATGGTATGCATAAATAGTTGTATTCAAAAATTTAGACCCTACATACTGATTTCTATCATTTTCCTCGCTTGTCAACATTAGACGATGTAAGCTCTTCAAGTAAAGAGAAAGGTAAAGAGAAAGAAATGGAGATAAAAGAAAGTAAGAATGTATATGTTGTTATTCTTCATTACTAAACAGCTAAACTTCTCTTATTAACTTATTATTTCGTATACCTTATGTTTTTATGCAGGTAATATTGAAGTAAAGCGTATTAAAAATGCATTTCATATCAATTACCAAGGATCAGCTCTTGACACTTTCTACGAACGATTAGTACTTTTCCATGATGAATGGCGTGCTGGAAACAAGTCATATGCTCCTTACTTAACTACTTTTATATGAGGCAATCAAATTAATTAAAGCTAACAACTGGAGCGAAAAACAGTTTTGGGAATTGCAGGTCAAAGTTGAACACGAAAATACGCGAACCCAGTTTTGGAAAGTGTCATAGAATCAGCTGAATCGTTACCACAGCATAATAGTTTCTTAACAAACAGAAATTTTGTAATAGACTTATTTGATAAAATACTTCGATCTCAGTTGTTTGTTGCATTGATGATTGCTTGAAAGGATACCGAATTCTAATGATGAGACCTACTTTGTTCGATGGAGGAGACAAATTCGAAATATCATATGGCATGGGTTTTTTAATGTTATCCTAAGCACAAACGGAAAAATTGACAATTTTCTTCCTCCAGATACTAAAGACACTCCTTCTGCCAGGATGCACGATTATTTTTTATTTCCCGCGTATCTGGATGTTCACACCATAGATGCGTTAGTAAGCCTTGCGCCAATTGGAAAATCTTATGTTCCACAAAGGACATTATATTTAGGAATTCCTCTATGGGGATCTTTGGCCCAAGCTGGAGTTGATCTCATCAATATTCTGCACCTAGCTTCACAAAAATTCGCAATTTTAATAAAAAACAAGAGAAAGATCATCTTGCTAACCTTGCATGCATGTCCTGTCCCTTTGCTCTGCAGAAGTAGAGACCTTCTGATCCTATCCTTGCATCCGGAGCATTAAAAGGAATCATCGAAGTTGGTCTTGAAAATTGTTTGGATACACTATTGGAACAGTTCAGTCGTGGAGTAGTTGAAGCAGGAGAAAGAGGAGAGCTTGTCGGTCGCATCTCGTTCCTAGAAGCATATATTCGTGCTGTGAAAGAAAGTCAGGAATCGCCATATACATACTTGGAAAAAGTTCCTTTGCCATTATTTTTGAAGTCTCTTGATAAAAAACTCGATAATCTTCTTACAAAGATGGAATTAGACCAAGCAGAAATTGGCTTTAACCATTGGACATCTTTATTAGCTTCCAATAAAGATTATGTGAAAGAAGGGGGATATAAGTATTTAACAGCAGCACTTGTCAAAGAAGCTTATCACAGACATACTGCTTTCAAGATGCCATTAGGATTTCCTACCATTGATCACGTTATTCCCTTTAAATACTCAACTAGTAATAGAACCGATAATTATGGTATCATTTCAATCCAAAATAAGAATGCAAAACAAACAAGCTACCAAGATAGTGATGTTCCTATTTTAGTAAACCTTATATCTGCCCTTAGTAGAAATAATTTTAATGGTATTATTCTGGGCATCTATATTGATATTGGTACAAGTAGTTCAAGTATAGAGATAAAAGAAGTAAATCCCATGAAGACACGAAATATGGGAAATAATGTTTATTGTAGGGCTCTCTATATTCAACACATCCAATCTTTTAATTGTAATAAAGAAATTGGTGAAAGGTTATCAAAGTTACGTTTTACATCTCCCTGGCCACTTGATCCTCGATGGAGAAGAGATCCCACTAAATAGAGAGCAAGCAATAAAATCATTTTTACCTCTTGTTTTTAAACAGGACCAGTCTTTAGTTAATAAATGGCATTTATGATAATGATAGAAATTGCTTCTTTATACACAAGATATTCAAAATCATGCAATGTTTATAAATTTAGCATTAATACTCAAAAATTACATAGTTTATTTTATTAACAGTTAAAATCGGTACAACACTAATGTTACTAAATTCGGGAAGCTCCTTCTAAAAGAAGATTAAAGAGTGTGTTAGAAGTGGCAAAAAGAAGAGTTCCAATGCGTGAAGTTATAGAAACATAAAAATTATTTTTTTTTTCCTGTGTGCAGGTGCCACACGAAAATTGCGGTGTCACGCGAAAATTATGATTTTCAAATCTTCCGTCGAACGTTTATCATTTTAGGTGTGACGATAATTTGTATTTTATATCACACGTCTTTATTTTCTTTATCAGTTATAGAATCATTTAATGATTAACTTTTTTTATCTTTATAGTATATGAATAAATTTCTAGAATTAAAAAATTTTGACAATAACCGGACGATTAACAATCTACATATATTAATCTTGACCTAATAGTAGATGAATTAAGATTTCGTTGCACAGACCTTAAAAAGTTGCACAGACCTTAAAATTATTATCAAGAGTCCAATGGCTTATTAGCATTATCATAAGTTATCATTTTTATTAAAATTTATAACAGCGCATGCATTATATGTAAAAGTTATATTCAAATATAAATATAATCATAAATCTAGAGAGAAATAAAATACAATACAATACAGCTTACAATACATATCAACAATTGGAAATCATTACGTTATAAAAAAATATTCATCTTTTTCTCTTTTTTGATTGTGGTGTTGATACAATTGGTGGGAAAGAGTATGAAACAGCCTTTCTTTTTCGCTTAATTCCACAGCACAACGTCTTTGTTCTCTCGTTATTCAGATTAGCCAGCATCATTTTGGTAGCATTTAATTTCTGTAAAAATCCTATCATTGTGCAATAAGCAATTTTTGTATTGCACATATTCCAGCTAGCTGATGGGATAGGTGCCTCGTACGCCAATATAAGGTGGTTCAATCCACCAGCGACAGCTAGGGATGGGGGTTAATTAACCACGGTTAATTAACCATGGTTAATTAACCGTTAATTTTGTTAGTTATGATTGATTTAAAATGGTTAATTAACCGTTATTTATAATTAGCCAATCAAAATGCAGAATTTAAATCATGTGATTAAATGATAATCCATTATTTTGTTACACAATTAAATATTAATTAATATAAATATTGATTAAATCTATGATCTACATATTGCATGATCTTTTTTTTAAGATAATTTTTTTTTAAAAAAACACTTTTTTTTTGCAAATTTATTGTTCATTATCATGGTAAAAAAAAAGGGAACTGTTTGGAAACATTGGACAATAATTACTGAAGCAGAAAGTAATGAAGAAAGTAGTAGGTCTAAGAAAAAAACACATCCTTCTGTACGTTGTAATTATTGTTCTAAAGTTTTTGAACAAGGTACAGCTAAAAGAATGCAAGTTCATCTTAATGATAGTTGTCCTAGAGCTCCAGAAAGTGCAAAAACAAAGAAACAACAAATTCCTGAACTATTAGAAACTTCTGATGCTACTACTTCTACTTTTATTCCTACAGTAAAAACATCAAAAAAGCATTTAAAAAATACAACAATTGAGAATTTTGTTGATCGTATGAGTGAAGAAGAACAAGATACTCTTGAAATTTTACTAGCTCAAGCATTATTTGCTGCTGGAGTTCCTTTTTCTTTTCTTGAAAATAATTATGTTATTCAGTTTTTTCAACAATTACGTCCAGCATTCAAATTACCTAATCGAAGAAAACTTGCTGATGAATTACTTGATGATGTTTTTGATGAAGTTAAAGCTGAATGTAATGAACAAATTTTACAAGCTAAATCTCTTACAATGGTTTCAGATGGTTGGTCTAATATTAATCGAGAATCAGTTCAAAATTTTGTTATTTATACTCCAAAACCATTATTCTTTGATGCTATTTATTCTGGTGAAGAATCTCATACAGCTAAATGGGTAGTAATTTTAATGAAAATGAAGAAGATAGTAATAATAGTTCTGATAATGAAAATAAAGAAGATGATAATAATAATAGTTCTGATAATGATAGTATATTTGGATTTGAAGCAAATGTTATTAATTTAGAAGATGAAGAATAAATAAAATATATTAAAATTTTATAATATTTAATAAATTATAAATTTATTTTAACTTCCTTAAAATTATATATACAGGTTATTTATGGGTTAATTAACCGTTAACTAACCGTTAATTAACCGGTTAATTAACCAAATTCATAACTAACGGTTATTTTACCAACCCTAGCGACAGCAAGTGCATAAATTCGAATTGAACGTGCTGGAAAATTCATTCACCTGATTAGCTAATTATTGATCTGTAAGTTAAAAAATTGATAACAAAACTTATTACTCACCAACAACCGTAAAACCCCACACAACCAAATTGCTGGTATTAACTCCGTTCAGTTGGTCTTTTGCTAAGTCCACACATCGCGTAATTCCAATCTGAGCTTTAAGGTGTCCAACCATTCTTTAGCACGAGTGCACCTTGGAAGACCCCCCGAAATTTTGCCACATCCGATATCAGGACTCCAGTGCAGTGGAGGCCAGGTAACTTAATAAGAACATCAACTCTATATCCCATTCGAGCATGTTCAGTGTGATCTCCACCCAGATTACGATGTATTGCCGTGGCTTGAAGTGTACTCTCAAAACTAATGATTTTTTTAGTATAGATATAAGAGATTGTAATTATTAACAGAGCATTAACCAAATTCAACTTACTAGCGAACTCGATAATCTGGAACTTTTTGAATTGATGCATCTATAAATGGCGCTATATTTCGCATCATATGTTCATATTCAGAGATGTCATCCTTGTACTGATCATTTATCGAGTCATTACTAAAAAATAAGAATTAAGTTATTAAGATATAATATACAATCATCCAAGGTTGTAGCAACAAATTTCATGTCAACCTACATCATGTCAGGACCCAGAAATATATATAAAAGGGTCAGGTTTGAGTTTGCGTATTTTGAACTAAAAAAATCATGAAAATCTTTCCTTTTTTAGATAATTTTTGATAATGCCAGTCAGAATTTTATTTCCTATTATAGGGGTCATCTAAAGCGGAGTCAAATCACGTGATTCGATATAATATGAGTGAACTAATTTTTTTATGAATCAAGTTAAACATAAACTTGAAAATCATAAAATAAGTGTATATTAGCCTGCTCTACGAGTTTACTTAAGATTAAAAGGTAGATTTTGAATACTGGTTTTCACTTTATATATTAGCAAAAGCTTTTTTGCTGATCATATCCAAAGATGGATAGACAAAAATGAAAAGTCAAATAAATCGAAAACGGCATTCAAAACTCATTTTGTCATTCTAAGTAAACTTGCAGAGCAGGCCAAAATACACTTAGTATATATGTTTAAAAGGTCGTATATATATATTGCGAAAAATTTTATTTAGAAAATAAATTTTTTTCTAAGTCACGTGATTTGACTCCGCTTTAGACGTCCCCCTATTATAGTAACCGACTGGCATTATCATAATTCTGACCCTGAAAAAATGCGTACAGCTCATAGTAAAAAAATTTTTTCATCACCTGACCCCCATATATATATTTCTGGGTCCTATCGTGTCAACCAATTTTTTAATAGCTCGTTGTTCAGCAGTCGATGCATGTACATCTTGTATGTCTTCTGCCTGTATTAGTAATTTAGCAAATGTTTAGAAATAAATATTTAAAAAAACACACACAATGTTATAATTACCACAAATAGTTCATCAAAAAATCTATTTTGGTCAGGTGAAAGCTTTGGCAAATCAAAAAATACGTCAGGCAGTGATTTGTATATTGATGGCATATATTCTTTAAGTAGTTCTATGGTTGGTCCAGACTACTGGAATGAAAATTATGATTATGTTGAAGAATCTGACTTGCATGAACCACGTATGACGGAAAATAGGGATGGACAAATATTAACCAACGATGAATGGGCAAAAATATAGAAAATTATCGATCAAAAATTCCACAAAGTCGTCGTATATTCAAGTGAGTTCATCTTCGTTTTTAATGCTCTTCAATATAATTTGGATTAACAGTTTTCTAGCCCTCTTTTTTACTATATTGTTGATCACTCGGGTTAGTCCTGTAAGAAAATATCAATTGACTGTAATGGATTGTCAACGTTTCCATCTGAAATAAACGGACTTGAAGATGATCGTGGAGAAGTTGTTTCATTGATTGACGAAATATTAATATTCTGTGTATTCATAATAATAAAAATGGATTAGAAAATATAATTTGAGGAAGGTGCATAATTGATTCCTCCTCCAGAATCAATAGATCTCAATTAATACTAAACCAGTAGGAGACAAGACTCCTATCCACAAAGAAAACGTGCAAGCACACAGGGATGTAAAGACCAAGACACGCGTGAAATGGTGTACATAAGCCTGAGAGCAGGGATGTAAAGACCAAGACATGGTGTACATAAGCCTGGGACAGGGATGTAAAGACCAAGGCATGGTGTACATAAGCTTGGGAGCCAGGGATGTAAAGACCAAGACACACGTGTAATGGTGTACATAAGCCTGGGAGCAAGGATGTAAAGACCAAGACATGGTGTACATAAGCCTGGGGCAGGGATGTAAAGACCAAGGCATGGTGTACATAAGCCTGGGAGCCAGGGATGTAAAGACCAAGACACACATTTAATGGTGTACATAAGCCTGGACGCACGTTTTCTTGTGAAAATTTTCACTTATCCCTGAGAGAACAACCGAAAAAACTGACCATAAATTCATTTAATATTTTCTGTGCTTTTGTAAAGGATCTGGAACCTTTTTTCAAATTTTGAATTAGGACCTTGAGTTCTTCTTCAAGAAAATTATGGATTCTTGTTTCGTCTTGTTACACCTTTTAGAAAAGAATTCTTCCCAACCTTCCAAGCTCCAGTGAGAAACGGGTTTCTCCCAATACTCTAATGTAACATAAGTACAGTGTTAACTGAGCATATTATATAGCATAATAGCAGAGACAAATAAAACTTACCACGATAGAGAGTTTGGGGGAGTACCTTTTCGGGCAAACCACCTCTAGGCATACTAGCGAAACAAAGACAAAACAAACGAAAAAACCGAAAGGCTTAATATAAAGAAATTTTTTTTTTTAAACTCTGAAGTAAATTTTTCGGACTTTCTATTCAAACTATTTTTTATAATTAAGTCATACTGTTAAAATAAAGGATAATTTTTAATCAATTTCACGCGTTATACGCGTTATGATATTAAAATGATGTATTTTATTATCGGTTATTTCATGATATCTGATAGCGTTAGATAAAAAATGTTATCATCATTACATGTGACTCACTTTCTTAAAATAATTATTTATGAAATAAAAACATTGCCGGAAGCAGGCAATAATACATAAAAATTGCGAATAGTTCGTTTTACATGATGTGAATAAAAATATAACTAGAAAAATTCTCCTTGGAAGTTCACTTTCTGACTCGCTAGAGCCCAGTATCCGAGGGATTTTTTTCTTCCTCCGGCAACACTTCCTGGAGGTATATAATGATGTGAGTGGGACCTGTTTTACCGTCTTCTCGAGGATAAGACGATGTAACGATTTCTCCTTCGGGAAAACATTGAGAAAATTTTTTTTTGCGGATCCATTAATACCCCCAGTCTTTTTCCAGAACTATTTACAGTAGAGATTAGAGCAGTATTTTCTTGAATGAAACTTTCCCTATATAGATCAATGTTTTTTTTTCTTGTAAATCTTGCCGGACAGTTTTGATCTCAGCTTCCAGGTTATTAACAGTCAATTTCTTATCAATTGTTACATGGAAAATATCTTTGATAGTCTCGCCACAAACAAAGCAGGTGAAGCGAATCTTACTAGTATCATCACGGGTGGTAGAAGATATCTTGTTTTCCTAAATACAAGGCCTATAGTGAGTATTTTTCCGATTTTCGAGCCACAAAGAAAGATTACGAAACTTTTTCCTCCCAGAGTTGACTTGAAGGTTAAGAAGCGGTTCACGTTTCAAAACATAAGAAATGATGTCAAGTGTTGGCTCGATTTTTGGAGCACTAGTGCATACATAACTTCTGGCATATACATACCTTATTTTGCGTTATTTTTACAGGAATGATTTTGCGGAAAGTTGGCTGAACTTCCACATATTCCTACATGCTTTATATCTTGCTGGGAAAAAGTTAAGAAGGCATGAGTCGTAATTAGTATTGTCATCTGATGCCAAGAGTTCCATGAAAACACATGCAAATGGAATTTTCATTATCTATTACATGGAGATCTACCGGAAAGACATAGTTAGCTTTACGCCTGGCGATCTCAAAATTGCGAGTCCCTCAGCCCTCCATAACATATGCTTTTGACGTTAATATTTACTTTTACAGTAGGTCCTGTGTTGCGTATAGACCTTCTTTCACATTTTCTCATGATTGTTCGGGAAAAAAAAAAAATAAAGAATTTCTTTTCGAATAAAATTATTATGTCGCACAAGACCTGATTGATGATCCACTTATTTTTTGTCGCACTATCTGTGGCTCAGCAAATTCTTCCGAGCTGATGGTCACTGCTCCTTTCCACTGACGAACATTCAGATGAACTAGTCTCAGACGAAGTAGACTGCTTTTTTCTCATTAAATTTGAAAAAATGATAAAGCTTAGTCGCTGACTACACCCGCAGTCTTTTAGATAAAGGGCAAATATCTTTGATCGAAAAATATGCAAAGTGCCTTCAGGAAAATTCTTTAAACTACCAACCGCTTAACCTTTCTCGATCGCGCCTTCCTTCGTCGCTTATGAGGGACATCCTTTTTTTCTCTTACCTGGTACCTATGACCAGTGTAATAATAGTTAAAGATTTTCTTGACAAAAATCAAAATACTAATATAACAAGAAGTCTATTTAGTATATCAAATATTATTTTTGATTTATTTGACAAAAATCATTTTATATCAAGTGATCTGCAAAAAAATTTTCTTTTTGAAAAGTTGTGTAATTTTATATAAATTGAAATTCAATTTTTTACCAGAAGCAAAATTTCATTTTTTTGGATTTGTATAATATCACATGATATAAATTAACTTAATAAAAATGTGCCATTATCTTATATATAAAATTTGCTACCTAGTAGTATGTCTATAGATTACCAAAATTCAATATAATTTGGAATTTGAAATTGGAATTTTGGGGTTTAGGATTAATAATTTTGAATTTGGATGGTATATCTAGTAGGTATAACTAATCACACATAAATAATGCTAATTAAAATATAATAATTTTAAGAAACCATTAAAATTTATATTTTTATTATTGATAATATAGTTCATTTAATTTTTGAAATAAAAAAAAAAAAAATTTATTAACCTTTTAATGTTCATTATTTTATTTAAATTTACTGTAAGATTTTTAGATTTTCTAACTATGGTAGAAAATATTATAATTAAAGATCAATTAAATAAAATTTAAGTTATATATTAAATGGATATAAATAGTATAAAGTAAAAACAAGTTTAAAAAATTTTAATTTAGCAATAAAAAAAATTTAAGAAAAAGGTTAATTTTTCATTGTAATCAATATAAACAATGCATGCTTCTAAATTTATTATATAAATATAATAAAGTTTTCTATTTTGATTTAAACTTTTTAACTTTATAAAAGAAATTAATTAAATGACATCTGCAATTCTGCATCATGTGATTATGTTATTTATATGATTACATTTATGGTGTAACAAATAAAAAAAAAGGTAAAATATTTAAATAGAAACGGGGTAACAGGTAAAATCCGTTATTATTATAAATTGATAGACCGTACCGAATGTTTATTTTTTCCTCATAACTTATTATTTTTTAAAAAAAGAAAATGTCCAAACTTAATAGAGATATTCTTTTCTTAATATTTGAAGAATTTCTGAATGATTCGAGATCTCTTTTTTCATGTCTAATAGTGAATAGACTTTGGTGTGAAACTGCGATTCCAATATTATGGAGGAATCCTTGGCGCTACGAAATTAGTTATAATAATGAATCTTTATTTTACGATATTGTTTCCTATTTAACCGATGATATTAAAGAATTTTTAACGGAACAAGGAATTAAATTACCTTCAACTTCACACAAATCATTTTTATTTGATTACCTATCTTATTGTGGGAGTATCAACATAAGTATTATTAATACTATAATTTCTAGATCAACTAAAATAATTACATCTTATACTCAATTTCTTTTACAACAAGAAATATACAAAGTTCTGATAAAAAAATGTTTAGAGTTAAAGTGTTTGGATATTATATCAATTAAACATCAAATATTTTATTTTCCGGAGGCTAATACACGTCTTAATTTATTATGTGAGTTAACATGTAGCACATCTATTGATCCATCATATTTTTATGGATTATCACGTATATGTCAAAAGATACAGAGGCTAATCATTATTAATACAATTCCAAAAGCTAATCATGGAATTGTTAAATTGATTGAAGTTCAAAAGAATTTAAAATATTTTGAGTGGGAAGATGATTTTGATGAAATTTTTTTCATAGATCCTTATGAAGATATTTTTATGGCATTAACAAAAAGGGCGGATACATTAAATCATTTAAAAGTAATCTTTCAATTTATTGATGATTATGAACATACATTCCTACAAAAAGTGCTACCAGAGCTTCATAATTTGAGAACATTAAAAATTGATGATCTTACTTTAAGTAACGAATCATCATTAAAAAAATTATTTTATCGTGATCTTGAGATCTTTAAAATTGATTATATTGAAATCCAAACGGCTACTTGTATAGTTGAAAATAGTGGAGGATATCTCAGGAAAATTTTATTGAAATATTGTAGTTACGACAATTTTAATGAAGATTCTCTTGTTTTAATACGTACAATTTATAAAAATTGTCCTTTAATTGAAGATCTATCACTTGTATTCTCATCATCAGTTGATCATTTCATTGAATTCGAAAAATTATTATTAACTTGTAAACAATTAAAATCATTATTATTAATTAAGAATAGTATCGTTGATGATAATGATCAAATGTCAAATGAAGATAAATTTTCGGATGGGGAGGAATTATTAAAAATCCTAATTAGATCAGCGCCAAATAATTTAAGAGAGATTAGATTCTTTGATAATTTTAAAATTTCTTTGGAAAGTTTAGGAAGTTTCTTAGAAGGATGGAGGGGTCGGCCTTCACTTTCCATACTCACATCTGATCCTGTTTATGAAGGGGAAAATTATATAAATTTGGTTAAAAAATATAAAGATGATGGCGTGATTAAAGATTTTAGACGTGAAATATAATGATGGGAGGAATTAAAACAAACCTATTTAAAAATCCAACAAACACTAGATCAACTTTTTGCTGCACAAAGATTAGAAGGCAACAACATTATATAATAAATATTGAAAAAGTTTGAACGTTAGAGTTGTTGTAATCATGCTGGCTAATAAATTGGGGCGGACAGTAGTAATATATGATACCACGATTAAAACAAATCAATTTCTGTTTAATCTTGAATAAAACTATTTAAAACATAATTATTGAAGTATTATCGGTAGACTAACACCATAATACTCGGATAAGGTTTTATATTTAATAAGATGACGTATTTAAATTTAGTTCAATACAAGCAGAAAAGAATGGAACATTTGTTAAGTTTGCATCAACAAAATGCTTACACCAGATATAATGAAATTCGCGCTAAACAGAGTAGTGATACTAAATACAACTATTCTATAAAGTAGTTCTATTCTTTTGTCTCAAATAATCTCATCATCAGCGTCTAAATATTATCAGATCATCTTACTTTTAATTCGTAAAATTTTCTTTCTTGTTTTTATTTAGGGAAAGGAGAATATATAGAAGAAACATTTAGATATATGATAAATTGTATAGCTAATAGAGCATGTTATTGAAACTTAACAATTGAATTTCAGATTAAAGTTAATACATACTTGTTATTCCATGGATATCAACGAATAAGACAATTGTAGGATTGCAGGCGCTAGATCATAATTACTGGACTTGAATCACTGGATCTTCGATAAACCGGATCATAAGTAAAATCCTGATATAACGTACAAACGCGTAGTTTAGTCATTAGCGTCATATCCGTGGTAATTACCGTGCTTAAAATATTAAATCAAAATTTACCGCCCAATTGAAATTTATCAGAATTTATCAATTTACTTACCTTAGATATTAGATTTAGCCAATCAATCACTACAATAGCAGCCTATCAATCAACAAGACAATATATATATATATACTGTATATATATACAGAATTCGGTTTAACATTTTATTATAATTACAGAGCAGTATGTGACCCGTAAATTTTGTTCACCTCATTTATATGTGTTCATTTCGTTTCTCCCATTTCATTCTTTAATAACTTGTGATTATTATTTGAAACATTACTTTAATACTATGAACTTCAAAAGCTCAATATCTTAAAGTCGGTTATGCCAAAGTCCAATTTAATTTGATTCAGAGGAGGAAAGGAAATGAATTATTACAATTCAAGTTACAATTTAAGCCAGCTTTTTATGCTAATTGTATTATATAATGGGTTTTTTTTTTAGTATTTCTCTTTTTTGAACATTTAATTGTAAAATATTTTAAGCCAAAAAAATAAAAGGATTCGTATTTTATAATTTATAGCAAAAATAAAATCAATATACCAATATACAGTACAGTATATTATATAACTTCCATTTTAATGATTTTAATGCTATTGATATCACAGGTATAGTAATTTTAATAGTTCATCATTAACTTCACGTGTTTGTAATACGAAGCTCAATGTAAATTCGGGATGTCATCGGTCCGAATTTTTTTTTTTCAACGAGCATAGATAGTATAAGAACTTTATTATAAAATTTAAAAAATATATGCTAATATTATCAGTTTATCAATTTATCAATTAAACACATACAGTATAAAGAAATTTAAATAAATATCAATAAGTTGAAACCGAATATGATTGTTATTTTAAAAAATGAAATACTGAAAGAAAATAATTATATTATAAATAAATACGAATAAAGTATTTAATAGATTAAATACTTATTTATTAAAAGATTAGCTAGTATAAAATAAGGATCCGCGTAATGAGGGCTGAAGACAAAGTAACAGTTAATAAATTGCTTTGTTTTTTTTGACATATAGGATTAACGTGTTTGCGTGTTTGTCATACAAAAAATTAAACATTACTTCACTTCGGGCGACGCATTTATAAAAGGACCAATTATTTTTATTGTTATTTCATATATCGGCCGATTGATATTACCCAGTAAAAAAATTTTTAAATTTTACCAGTAATTTATATATATATATATATATATTATATATATTATATATATATAGTATATATCGTAAATATGACCATGGTTTTACGGTTAAAATCTAAGCAACTTGGATAATTTCCATGTTTTTGAGGCTATAAATTCCGTGAATATGATACATTTACGGTAATAACATGGAATAAAAAAAAACACGGAATAAATTTTTTATAGGATTATATATATATATATATATAAAACTAACGACGAAATTAAGTTACATATTCGAATGTAAAATAATTTAATAAATCTATATTTTATCGTAAAATATTTCGAATAGATTGAAACGAAAATTTGCCAATTTTTTTAAAAAAAAATATTCAAAATTTGTTAAACAAAAAAAAAAAAGAATGTAAAATTTTGCCATATTTCTTAAAAAAAATAAAGTCTAAAAAAAAACAGATAATTTGAAACGGAATCAATACCAATTTTTTTTTAAATTTAAATTGTTAAACTAAAAAAGAATGAAATAAAAAAAATATTCAGATTGTTGTTAAATGAATTTTGCCAGATTATTTAGAATACAAAGTCTAAAAAAACAAACCAAATAAATAAATATCTGGTTTGAATGAAGAAAAATTTTTTGAAAATATTTCGAGAAAGGAAACTTTCAGGGATGATTATGAGTTCCGGGAGATCGAGGACAAGGATGGCGACGAGTGATTATCATATTT